GACCACCAGACATCTGGCAGAGCAGACGCACTGCAAACTCTAGATTACAGCTGCTGGTTCCTGTCCTGTTCACATGGACCTCATTGGCAAAGAGAAAGGCCATTGTACTCACATATCAGAATATGGTTCCTTCACAGGCCTTTGCTCAAGTAGACTTAAATGTGGCAGACAAATTTAAAGGGTACATTTTTTTCAGATAAACTTGAAATAAAGTACAAAATGCCTCACTGTAGTCATCAAATGCTATATGCCAACAGAGAGGGCATGTCTAGCCTTATAAAGAGGACACAGATATGTCTGAAATTCTATTTAATTCAATTTCATTTGTAGGATTTTCACTACATTGTCTCAAAGTCCTGTACAATATCCCTGCCCAAATGCCCACGCACTGGCAAGGAATAATAACTTCCTAGAAGGAAGAAACCTTGGGAGGAACCAGTCCATCCATCCATTTGTCCTATTTAGGGTTGGGGGGAGGGTCTGGAGTCTATTCTAGAGGCTACAGACTCACAAGGCAGGGAACAACCCAGGATGGGGTGCCAACCCATCCATCAGAGGGCATACTCACATACACATACACACCTATGGGCAATGTGGTAACTCCAATTAACCTCAGAATGTTTTTGGATTGTGGGGGAAACCAGTGCACCCAGAGGAAACCCCACAATGACGCAGGGAGAACATTCAAACTCCACACACATGGAATCCCGGTGGAGACTCAAACCCAGGTCCCAGAGGTGTGAGAGAGCAGCAGTAAGTACTGCACCACCATGCCGTCCCAGCAAAAGAAGGTAAATGAACATAACGACAAAATCCTAATTTGTACAGTCCAAATTCCCAGTATAAATGAGGAGGCCAGGCAGGTGATAGCAGGCAGGTGTTGGGGCTGCTTCTGATGGCAGGATGAGAGGTGGTACAGCAGCAGGGCAGGCAGGAGAGACCATAATCCCAGTTCATCCATATGATACACTTGACTTAATTGCTTCTCAGTCCTGACTCTGCCACATTATATGGTAGACATAGAAAGATCATACTGTCATCCTACCCTCTGCATTCATGGTTGCTGTGTGACCCGGCAACTGAGGACAGACTCTCTGCTCAGCACAAATGTCATACACGTGGTGGGTTTTTAAGAAGCAAATTTAGAGATACTCTATTCTCAACACTACTGCACCTCACAATTATACACATTATATGTGACGTTTCTGAGCACAGGATTTCACTAAGCCCAGGACAGCCACACCTGGGCAGTGGGCACGCACAGCTTTTTGTAACTCAAAACACTTAAGACTTAGTTAATGGGACAAATGGCTGCTAAAAGACACACAACAGAATGATGAGTAGAAACAAAACTTAAGTGAACAAAACAAAAACTAAACACATTTCACTTCTAGCCACTAAAAGAAACCAAAAGGCTAAAACTGATTTTAAACAAAGTTTCTGTCTGTGGCTTTCCCTCCCTCTCAGTCCAGCTGGTTCATTTATAACACTGCAAACCCACTTAGTTCGACGAGAGGCAGATGGTCATTAACATTTGAGAGCACACTGCATGGTTTTGAAAGCAATTAGACAACGTCATCAGAGACAATCCTGCCCGTGCCTCTGGTCTGACCAACCTATACTTACAATTATTCTTGTTTAAACAAAAATTCCTACATGAAATATTAATGTCTAGAAATATATATAGAGAGTAGCAATGTAAAGGATCAATAACTATATTACACTGACAAACATAAATAACATTTTTAAATCTAGTTATTCTTGTAGTTTATTAATTAGCGCAAAGTGTACCTAATTCATAGGGTCATTTGTTTTAAATGGGTTTACATTCATATTCTGCACAGATCCAGTTCATATAAAAATGAAAACTAAAACTGTTTATTCCTACAAATTTGATAAATGTAGGCCAACTGTTCTGCCAACAAGGCAACTGATTGATTCAGGATTGCTGGGAAACAGTTTCTCCCATCCCAGATGTAGATGGTCATTCTATTATAGTGGACTCAAGGACTTCAGCAAAATAAAACCAGTATAATTTTGTAAACATGTAAAAATGTAAGTTGCCTTACAAAAGGATCCATTCTTCTTGAGTAATTTTATGATAATGAACAAGACTGAAAGGCCATCTAATAAGACTACTGTTTCTGAGTGCCATTCCTGGCTTTCAATACTCTCTCAAAACAAACCCACAATGGGGAAATACAAATAACCGCAACAAGAACGTTTACCGGAAATGAAAGACAGGGGAAACCCTTCTGCCATGACACTACACTGAACATCAGGCTGGTCCAGTCCACAGAACTGAGATCCACTCCTGGTTTTACAGCTAAGTTGGCTGGAACAATGTTTTGGGTTTGGCAATGAGCAGGACAGGAGCCCACACCATCTGTGATTACTAAGAAGGCCATTGTTGCTAAATTTGGTGCATGAGGGTAGATCTGTTCCAAAGAGAGAGAGACCATAAAGCAAACCTGGATTTGACTACTGAAAATCACTGCCCCCTACTGGAAGCCCACTTGAAGTACATCAGCGTGGAGACAAAAAAGTGTCCCATGGCTTTACATGAAAGTTTGCTTTTGAATTTAAGCTACTTTTTAAGAAGAATCCATAGTCAGCAACTCATGTGTTTAATACAGAGATGTGGGTGGAGGCAGTTCTCACCATATATGGTTCAGAGTAAATGAAGTCTAGCAGGAGGAACTGAGATAAGTTACAGCTCTGACAGAGGACTTCCTGAATGTGTATGGTAACTTTCCAAGTTCATGCACAGGTAGACCACAAGTAAAACAAATTAGCCAACCCATAACATGGTTTAATATTTTAATTTTGAGAAAGAAACAAAAGGATAAAAAACAAAAACTAAAGTTGAGGAAGATAATCCAGCATTTTTAGTTGTGCCCAAAGGGGGTGGGGGATGAAGAGATTAGGCCTTGCAGAGGGTCGGTCTGCATTGTGCTGAATGGAGCAGCTGCATACTCAGACCCATCTGCAACACAATAGCCTGTAAAGAACATGCAAAAGAAACAGTGGCTATAAACAAAGAGGCTGGAGCGAGCTTGCTGTGTGCATCAACTTGGCGGCAGCTTGCTGGCCATGCACACGTGTGCGCATGTGCACACCCGCACGCGCGCACACACACACGGGCAGATAAACGGTCAACGTAAGAACCGTACGTGCGGCGTCCGCCGATGTGCTGCTAAGAACCCGGCTTAAAACTATTTAATACTCTTTCATTCAAAAGTTCAGAATTCCAGTCAATTATTTACAGAAAAAAGTACCGAGAATATTGCAGGCTTCGTTTTATGTTGGCCTTTAAGTAGCTTAACTATACTTCGTTTCTCATTATAAGCAAACATATTGACAGTATAACTTAATATTTTTTAAAAGTTGCAACAATGAAACTGAGTGAACGCTGTACTTCCAATTCAGCACAGGCAAGCAGGTTTTTGCCAAATAATGCTCAGTGCTGGCCACATCAAGAAGTGGTGTTTTAAAGATTTAGCCCTTAGGTCATAACTAGTGACTTGGTACACTACTATAAAACCCAGTTCAATCTACTTTACATTTACATTAATGTATTCTATAAAACTGATTAACCATGCACACAGCTGTTTTTGTCATATGCATTCTTGACATGAAAGGTTCTTAAAAATGAATAAAAATAAATTGCATTTGCACCTCATTATCTTGAGGTGCACATGGTATACTTAACTGCACCAGAAAGTCCTTGTGATTGTCAGGTAGCATACAGGTTAAAATGTGGCTAAGAACAGTGAACCTGGTAAAATATAAAGTTCTATAAAAGTGCATTCAGTATCAACACACCAACTGATTCACAATATACTATTTATAATAAAAATAAGGTCGTGTTTCAAAACTGAGAAGCTCTAACTTCCGCATGGCATACTTCTGTTATGTGGCACTCCCCAAAACTACACAATCTGCATTATTAACGCGAGCATAAACTGCAAATCATTTATGCATCATAGTTCTTTTGAATTCAAGCATACATCCATTTTTCTGGCACATGAAGCTCCGCTTCCCATATAATAGATTTAAATGGAGAAATGTATTTAAAAAGCCAAAGCCACTTCAACAGTAGAGCATAAAAAGTTGCTCTTGAAGTTTATTCTTTTTTTTGCAATTGACTTAAGGTCGGTCAAAGTCCGCTAGCCGCCCTGATATGACATTCATTTAATGTGATGGGTGAAGAACAGAAATACATTTAACTGGTCACATCATTTCCCGTCCCCGGCTAAACCTAAGGGATGAGGGCGTTCCAGGTTATCTTAAAGGGCGTGGCTTAATAAATAGTTCCGAAGGACTGTAACTCGACCCCAAGGTGTAATTCGACACCACCTACTCTAGTTAGCGTGGCGCAAGAAACAAAGGATAAGAAAACGGTCATTTTAATTTACATTTTGAAAATGTGCGTAGAAGCAAAAATCCCCAACATCGCAGGTTCTGAGACTCGTAGAGCCTAGGAGTTCCGTTATGCAGATTTATCGGTAGTTTGCCCCTCGTTTATTATTGTAGAAAGACATTTTATACGACTTTTCATACCTTTCACACCTTTTCAGGACAAAAATGGTATACATCGTGTAAGACATACATTCACCTGCAAAATTTTATCAGTCACAGTACACCTTTATACGGTGCGCTGGTCATTGTAAAACGTTACGTTTACGATGCTAAAGCTGGTACTCCGAAGCCGATGGATCAGAGAAATAAACATCTCTATTTCATTCATTTGACAATATTTAAATCTCTTCAAAATGCATATGGGGTTATAATATATTGTATTTGATTTTTTAATTTTTTACTTCGACTGAAAGACGTGGTTAGCACATCCAGCCAATAGAAACGAGAGTTCTCGTCCGAGGGTGGAGTCTGCGTGTAGGCGGGCGTAATTTGAGAAAATCGACAGCAGCTTCCACCAATAGAAGAGCCAGAAAAGTGTTTAGCTTCGTCTCCTGGACCAATCGCGCGCAATCTCGACCTGCTCTCTTTGAAGCGGCTGCTGTTCAACTCCCAGGTTGAGGCTGATTTGCCCTCACTCCTCTTCTTGCCTCCAAATCAGCTACTCTTCGTACAGCTAAGCGGCGGCTGCAGCTGCAGTAACGGAAATAGCTAACCGTAATTTTATTTTTTCTGTCTCGGACGCTTTTACCATCGGAACCAAGGATGTCGGACACCGTAGTTGATACGACCACTGCTGCCGAGGTCTCACCTAAGGTAAAACCAATTAGTCTTAATATCCACTCGGCAGTACCGGTGGTACGTTTTTTCTATATTTGTTTTTTGATCTGGGAAATGTGCAACTATCCATCTTAATAACTATTCTGGTTCAGTGGTCAATAAATTAACTGGACACGTTAATTGGGTAAATGAGGGTTTTTGCGACGATTCTGCAATCCCTGCCTAATAATCTAATAAGGTCGTGTTGATACACCTAGCAGTATGCTGTTAGTCTGTTTTGCGCCATGCGGACTGAATCGGAGGGGGGAAAGTACCGGTGTGTCATTCGACAGCGTCACCGTTAGGTAGCGCTGCTAAGGACGGGCGATCGGTAGGAGGTCGTTAGGCATCACCGCGTATAAACTGCCGCATTCTGTCCGTTTCCTCGTTCGTACGATAGAAACGGCGGCGATCTTGTTAGTGGCTTGCGGTCCGGTATGTGACTGTCAGCCGTTTGGGGGATGGAGAGAAAACGGCGGGAAACCCGCTGTCTCGTAGTCTCCGGCACGCGCCGCCTTGCCGCTGCTTCCGTTTTTTTCCTCTCTCTCTGGCGCGCGCGCCTCACGGCCACGTTTTCTTTTGTCTCCCGTCGAGCGCGCGCCGCGAGTTGGCGAATGGCAAATGCGAATATATACGGCGGATTCCCACGCTTTTGACAAATTCTTATGTTAAATATAATATAATATACTTTAACCACCACTTTGCACATTCCGTGAGACCTGTTTCGGTGGCGTGCGGTCGGTTTCATTTGCCGACCAGGTCATTTTTTTTTAAGTGTGTGACTGTATTTTCTACCGGTGAAGAGGAAATGAAAATTTCTGCTCCTTCCTCGAATAAATAACACCGCGGATAGTGCGGCCCTAATTTAGTGGAGGGGGTCCCGAGCATGGCATTAAAAATCTGTATTTGCGTATTGTAATGGGTAAAGCTGGGTTTTTTTTCATAAAAAAAAAAACTCTCCGCCCACTATTCGTTGAATGGCTGTTTTGTTGCAGTCCGCATGTTCGGAAAGAGGTGATCGTGGAAACATTGGCTCCTCAATATTTCCAAACAAGCTTTGGTTGCCGTAGCCCGCTTAACTGGCCTTTTACGTAATCCAAGCTAAAGCCAACTTGCCCCCCCTTCCTCTGCCTGTGCTCAGGAGCTGAAGGAGAAGAAAGAAGTTGCCGAGGAGGTGGAGGAAGCGGAGAAGGAGAACGGCAGCGAAGAAACACCTGCCAATGGAGCAGTATGTATGGCCGCGTCCCCCTTGTAGGCCTCAGGGTCTTTGTCTGCGGAGCTCTCATAGCGCAGGTGTTTGGTCAACCCCTCCCCCTGCTCCTCCTTCCAGCTCTTTGTTTGGTTTGTGAGATGCCACAGATGTGAGTCGAAGAGAGCACTAAGCTGGCCCTGTATTTATTCCATCTGGTTAATTGAACAAGGATGACGTGACCTTACCAGCAGACCCCGGCCAGTAGTGTTTGTCCCCCACCCCCCAGACAACTCAATTGCGTGCACACAGAGCATAACAAGAAAACTAAATGGATGTTTTTCTAAAAAAAATTTAGAAGACAAATGGTGCTGACCATGATGAGGAAGTCCCTGAGGAGGAGGATGAAGAGGAGGAAGGCAAGTGTTTTTAGTGTTCTAATTACAAGGTTTGATTGTGTTTTTCCTTCTGTTAGTGTCTTACTGTTGAAACATCTATTTTGTTCTTAGGAGAGGGAGAGGAGGGTGAGGATGCGGAGGAAGGGCCAGAGGGAGAGGCAGAAGAACATCCTGTAAAGCGCCCAGCCGATGAGGAGGTGGGTGAACCCAAATACCTGTATTTCTGCTTTGCTACACGCCTAAGTGTGGTTATACTGGGTGGAGGCATTACAAGAATTTTGCTATTAACTTGTGCTTTTTTTTTCTTCAACCCAGGAAAAAGTTGAAACGAAAAAGCAGAAGACAGAAAATGGCAGCTCCACAGAAGCCGAAGTGAAAGCTTAATGTCTCAGTTCACCTTCTCCAGTAGCTCTGTCTGCATGGTCATCTTGACCCAGTAGAGTTTGTGCTTTCATATACAAATAATTTTCCTCCCCAGATATCATATTTGCACTGGAGTCCTGAAACATCACAGCCCTTTTTGTTAAATGTTATTTATTGGTCACTGATGGCCAGTTTTAATTACTGCTGCAAAATGGGGGGGCACTCACGAAAAAGGTGCTTTTTCTTTCTACTTATGATACAGTTGTGAAGCACATTTTCTACTTTGTTACGTGACCAGCCGATGCTCCTCAAAGCAGCTGTGCCCTTCACACGGTTTCTGACGTTTATGGTGACCTCTCAAAATTCACCTAAGACCAAAGATAAGTTTTAAGAAGGGGGTAATGGACAGTTGTTACCTTTTGTGTGGTTAAATAGTATGTGCTGCTAGTAGTTAAATCTGTCTGGCTGGTCTGTAGTACAACAGCAGATGGCACGAAAGATTCAGGGGTCCTTACTGTATGTGATGAGGTCGTTAGGCCCACTGAGATAACAAACTCTTGCAGTGTTTATTAACCCCTCTTAAATCTTAAGGATTTGGTCCCTGTTCTGTTTTAAGATTTGCTTTGTACTCTGTACAGATTTTTTTTTCTTCGTCTTTTTGTTTTAACCTGGATAACCTGGTTCCTGGGTTCACAAGAGTTCATCCACCGCTGTGCTGGGTTTCCTTGCTTATCCTCTGAATCAATTTTTTTTTACTCTTTTTGGTTGCTTTGACCACTGCTTTGTATATTCTGGTTCTGGATTATAAATAAATCAGTCTTTTTATTTGTGTGTCAAATTTATTACCTATACCTTTTCTTTGGTCATGTCATGAGATCTCGGTACAACTCTCTCCTTTCATGTTTCCATTGAGGAGTTGCTTAAAGAAAAGTTTGATCTAGTGCAGAAGTACAAGCAGTCTATTTTCAGGAACAGGCCAGAATGAGGATTATAGTGACTGGCAGTTTCTTCTCTCATCCCAAAACAATGAAACATGTTGCGCTTTATAGGGCAATGTTATAATTTGATTCACTCAGATAATTTTGGAGTCCTCTGTTAAGACTGATACTCATAGGTTTAGCCGCTACCAATAATGGCGATCTGCTAATACTGCCCTCTAATGGCAAGTTATAAAACTACTCCCTTTTTTCATATAGCTCTGACCGTACTGAATGGCTACAGAGTATTTTCCTTATTAGGCAATTAAACGTTCTTGACAACGACCCAAAATCATATCATCTAAGACTGCTGTAGTGCCGGAACTTTCCTATTGTCTACTGCAGTCACTATATAATGTTATCTAAATATCTTCTGGAACTCTCATAAAATAGCCTTAGTGGTGGGAATTTTTTTGTCTTAGATTATCTCAGCTACTGGCTTCCGTCTGTGAATGTATCCACTGGGTTTTTTTTATCTTTGTCTGAAAAAGTGCATGAGAAATACAAAAATTTTGAAATTGCAGAAAATGAGCATGCTGGTAAAGAAGGAAAACCTCTTTAATGTTATTTTAAGGAAATGATATTTAATGAGATGATTACACTTAAACTCCAGAGCCCCAAGGTATAACTCAAGAGTTTTTATCTGTATTTTGGACACCAAATCCAAACATCCATTAACCAAAGTAACTCTGACCACCATTTACAAGGGAATTCTTTCTGTTAATAAACATTCCTGAAGTTGTGCGTGCAGAGGTGTGGCAGCACCTGAAGCTCCCGCGTATTGGTGCAGTGAGTCGGCATGTGTTGTAGTGATCAATCTTGTGGAAATACTTTTGCAGTCTAACTCAAGGCCCATAAGAACTCTGCACTCCTGCTAATGACATTTTCCATGTTGGAGTTGACTAGGTTGGAGTTCCTAGCTGGGGGAAACAGTCCAGCGTAATGCCGTAACCAGTTAGAGGGTCGTAAAATCATCAGAGCTCAGAACATCCAATGACCCAAGCAATCCAGAGGTCAAAAACTTTTGTGATCCGATAATTTGTAAAGCTCTTGTCATTTCTGTAAAACTGTTCCAGTCAGCTGTCCCCATTGGTGCAACACATTTTATTTCAAGTGTCACCCACATGCATGCTGTTGTGGATGGTATGACATCCACAAGTTAAAGATTTGCTCAAAGGCATGAAAAGGGGCCAAGGACAGCATCAGCCCGGTCCCAAGCTTCAAGAATGGCTGCATGCAGACACTAGAACATACACTATATGGACAATAGTATTGGGACACACCTCTTATTCATTGAATTATGGTGTTTCATTCACACCAGTCTGTAAAATCAAGCACCTAGCCATGTAGTCAGGTTTACAAACATTTGTGAAAGAATGGGTCATTCTGAAGAGCTCAGGGAATTGAAGTGTGGTACATAAGATGCCATCTTTGCAATAAGTCAGTTTGTGAAATTTCTTCCTAGCAAGATATTCCATGGTCAATTGTAAGTGGTATTATTGCAAAGTGGAACCATTTAGGAACAACAGAAACTCGGCCACGAAGTGGCAGACCACATAAGGGTCACCGAGTGCTACGGCGCATTGCATGTAAAAGTCACCCACGCTCTGTTGATTCAATTCAATAACTGAGTTACAAACTTCCTCTGGCATTAACCCCAGCACAAAATCTGTGTTGCAGGAGCCTCATGGAATGGGCTTCCATGGCCAAGCAGCTGCATGCAAGCCTCACATCACCAAGCGCAATGCCAAGCATCAGACGGAGTGGTGTAAAGCACACTGCCACTGGACTCTGGAACAGTTAAAATGTGTTCTGTAGAGTAAAGAATCACACTTTGCTATCTGGCAGTCTGATGGATGAGTCTGGGTTTGGCGGATGTTAGGAGAACATTACCTGCCTGATTGCATTGTGTCAACTGTAAAGTTTGGTGGAGGAGGGATAATGGTATGGGGCTGTTTTTCACGGGTTGGGCTGGGCCCCTTAGTTCCAGTGAAGGAAACTCTTAATGCTTCAGCATACCAAGACAGTTGGACAAGTCTGTGCTTCCAACTTTATGGGAACAGTTTGGGGAAGGCCCTTTTCTGTTCCAGCACGATTGTGCCTCATTGCACAAAACAAGGTCCATAAAGACATGGTTGGATGAGCTTGGTGTGAAAGAACTTGACTGACCTGCACTGAGCTCTGACCTCAACCCCATCGAACACCTTTGCGATGAACTAGAAAGGAGATTGCGAGCCAGGCCTTCACATCCAACATCAGTGACTGACCTCACAAATGCTCTTCTGAATGAATAGGCAAAAATTCCCACAGACACACTATGAAATCTTTTGGAAAGCCTTCCCAGAAGAGTGGCAGCTGCAAAGGGGGAACTCCACATTGATGGCTATGGATTTAGAATGGGATGTCATAAACGTTCCTAGTGTCCCAGTAATTTTATCTCTATTGCGTACCTCTGGGAAGGAAGACACCCTGTGGATGTCTTCCCATTAAGAGTACAAATTTCTGAGAGCAAAATAATTCTTGTTAACATACACACACATATATATATATATATATATACACACATATATATATATATATATACACACACACATATATATATATATATACACACACAT